CAAAAACACAGTAAATTAATCATTTTGGTATTTAGATTTAATGTTATCGAGTTAGTGTTGTTTGTTTATATTTATTTATAACTTGTAATATGCACAAAATAAAAAAAATAATATTAGTCACATGTCTTCACAATTTATAATTACAAAGATCAGCACACGTACACACCTATTCGTTCGAGAATCCTCGCACATCCGAGGGTCTGACCCTGCCTATCCTTATTTTTAAGCACTCGTCTTTGCTCTTCCCTTTCTCTTTCCTCTATCGCTCTAATCCATGTATGCCTGTGCATACATCATTATACTCGCTCACGATACTTTCGATTCGTCACTTTTTCGTGGTAGAGTTCCCATTTTACAATTACGTGACTCAGCCTGGTGATAACGGAGAAAAGAGACAGATAGGACGTCGATATAAGTCACAGTTATGATTTCACAGATTCGAGACAGCTTGATAGCCCGAACGGCCTCGGGCTTTCGCCCGTGCACGCTAAGTGACTTTCATTACAAGCGTTTAGCTTTCCGAAGTCTATGAAAACAATTGTTTGACATTGACGGCCGCGAATTTCGTGCCAATAAGCGGCCTCTACTTGTTCGATTATGTTATCGACTCAATTTCTTATTTATTTTCACATTTTCACTTCGCGGTCCTTCTCTGTTCTTTTTCCGTTATTTACACGTGTAGGTCATTTCATCCACATTTGATATCATCATTTATCACATACTTTCATGACACTTTTGTCTGTCCGCTACAACTGCCAAGAATTAACGCGATTGGCGAAGCGTAGTGACAGCGGTCCAATAGAGAGCAGGATCCTTGCCATAATGCGGTTTGTGCGGCAATTTTCGTACGTGCGTTAATCGAGCCGAATAGTTTGGCCGAATATCTCAACAAATACAATTCAAAGAACCGGTGCGCGACAAACAGAAAATAATTACAATCACTAGGTAACGCGACAATCGAGATAAGTCCTGGCACGAGATTAAAGAAAAAAACAAAAGATTAGTGGCAAAGCACTACAATGGTTATCACGACCTGTCCGAGCGATATGATTTACAGTTACTGCGGTAATAAAGAAGAAGAAAGCCTACTAATTCATTTCTTTGCTTCTTGTCAAGT